AACTTTGCTGTCTTCCAAAACCTTGTCCCTAACGCCTATTACATCGTCCCTTGTCGAAAAACATCGAAGTGATTTCAAACTTTGTAACTTTGACGAAGGTCACTTTATAATTCGTGATGATCATGGACCTTTGAATTTGAAGGAGTTAAGATTTGCGAAAATAAAATATAACACAGCAATTTGTCTCACATTTTATGGTACTATCATCTTTTGATTATCTCTTCAAAATCTCTGTAAAACGTGAATCCCGCGAACAATTATGTTTAGCGCATTCCTAAATGTGATATACTATAAAATTTAACAATAAACTAACAAATAATGTTATGAATAGTCTTTTAAATCTATGATTTTAAATAAAATATTAAAAACGAATAATTTACTAAAATATATTATTAAAAGAAGTCCCTTTAGGCAAGTCCCGAAGATACTGGCAGCGTTGCCCCTATAAAATTAATTATTTTTTTAATTGTTATTTGTGTAGAGCATTGTGTTAATCTGAAGTGTCATACGGTTGACGGAGAACGTGTCTTTTCAGAGGTTATCGCTTCTACAATTAAAGTGGAAAGCCTATTGAGAGTTTTGCTTTCGCCTTTGTTTAAGATTTTCATACAGTTTTTATTTTTAGATATTGTTTATAGAATACGGACACTTAATGTTTTAATCAATAAAAATACCAAGAAAGAAATAAACGAATCATACAATTATTTGAATTGATGACGTCAGAGAAGATTTATGCCTAATTTTTGTAGTCAGATTTACTTCGACACCACAAACTATTTGTATATAATAGTTTTCTAGACTACTGTTTTAAATCCTAAGCTTATTTAGAAAGTTTAGATGGATGTTTGTTTGAAGATATCTTCGGAACGGCTCAACGAATTTTGATGAAATTTGGCACAAATGTAGAACATACTTCGAAAGAACACGTAGGCTACTTACTAAGTTTTTTTTTATTCCGTGCGGACGGAGTCGCGAGCGGCAGCTAGTGAGTAGCTAAATAATGTAACTTTTTGCTTGCATTATGACATCGGACTGATATTTTTTGAAATTGCAATGCCCAGAAGATTACATCTATAGATGTACGAAATGAAGAACGAAGACGACGACACAACAAAAAAAATATAAGTAGCTTTTTAATGTGGCTAGTCTTGACAGTTAAAACACTATGACACTTTTTAGTGATCATGGGTTTTTGACACCAAAATCCTAGAATAAAACATGTTGTTATCTCTATTTTGTCAAAGATAATGAAAGGGATGACGATATGTTTTATACAGAGTACTCAAAAACCAACGGTGACTGAACTAACGGTAATGTAATCAACATTTTCTTTGCATTAGTATAAGAAGGTTCGGTATACTTTTATCAGGACAAGGATCTTGATGAAGGCACTTTACTGAGATTTGTCTGCAAGCTTCTATAAATGTAGGATTTTCTCGGGATTTTATCTTACGTTTGTTGTTAAAAGAACCAAAAAAATCTGTAGAACAAGATAGTAAAATT